AACCTCCAACTCTTGAGCTTAGGCGATTCTCTTGCCTCAGCCTCCCAAGTAGCTGGGACTACAGGCGCCCGCCACAACAACTGGCTATTTTTTGATTGCAGTTTGGCCAGCGCCGAGTTGAAACCTGCCACCCTCAGTATATGGGGCTGGCGCTGCCCACAAATCTATACATTTGTCACACAGAATTTTTTTTTTTACTGAAGATGTGGGCATTTTCATTGCCCTTGCTTTCAATACAAACAAAAAGCATGTCATTCCTCTAGATATTCTCAATATTTAAACTATAGATATATCTTGGATATATGTCTAGAATCAGGGAGGTCCTAACTAATAGGCTACCAGAGGCTCTTACCTTGCAAACCCCTGTGGCAGTTCTCCGAGGCCATACAGTGGGTAAAGGTAAGGGCTTTTGCCATATCTTGCCAAAGACTCACTGTAAAGTTTAATCCTATTAATAGTTTCACAACACGGTTGATCTAAGTAGCTGAGAAAAGGAAATGAATGTTAAAAAAGAGCTGTAGTTTCCATCCTTGGTAATTCAATTTAAAGTTATTGATTTATTTATTTTGAGACAGAGTCTCACTTTGTTGCCCTTGGTAGAGTGCCATGGCATCAGAGCTCACAGCAACTTCAAACTCCTGGGGTGAAGTATTTCTCTTGCTTCAGCCTCCCAAGTAGCTGGGATTACAGGCGCCCACTACAACATCCAGCTGTTTTTACAGATAGGGTCTCAGTCTGACTCAGGCTGGTCTGAAATCTGTAAGCTCAGGCAATCCACCCACCTCGGCTTCCCAGATTGCTGGGATTACCGGCATGAACCCCCTTGCCCAGCCCCTCCACTACCTTATTATTTCACTAAAAAGGTTCCAACACTGATTGGCAACTAGAACCTCTTCTTCCACAACAGGAGATGGCCATGTATTTGTTTTGTTAGAATTTCCACTTGGGAGAACTGGGAAATCCAATGAGTATTCCAAGAAAAATACAAATCCAAAAACCAAAATACTTACTCATCAGTTCTGTAAAGTGCAAGAGCATGACCAGTGAAGTCTACAACATCTTGGCCCAAGTCAAATTTCTTATACACATCTCGCATTGTAGTCTTGTTTGGATCGACACCCTCAAAGGTTCTAGTATCTTTTTCATCGAAGTTGGCAACATACACTAGGAATTTCCTGAAGCGGCGTTTTTCGAACAGTCCCATTAAGCCTAAAAAACAATTTTTCAAAAGTACACACTGACAGTAGGACACAGAAGAAAGAGTGTGAGAGGAAAGTATGAACATGCCGAGGAGCCCAATGTGCAATTGAAGACACGGAGGTTTGCACTACACAGCTCTCAGTGTCACAACACTGAAACAAAATAAAATTACAGCAGGTCAGTATAAAGTCTTCAATCTTACCAGACAAGGAATTATAACCAGTACGTAAGTGAAATGAAAGTCAAATTATTTTTCTTACTAGGCAAGAGAAATGCGACTCTGAGAAACACCATCAAGCTGAGCACCTGGCGCTGCCCCTTCACTGCCGCACGCTCAGCCCACTGCCCACCACCCTCAACACTTCCTTTTCCACATCTGAGCATTTAATGAAAAGAAGCCTGAGACCAAGAACAAGTTCATCTCAACACAATTTAGATGTTGATGCTGCCACTGGCCACCTCCTCGAAGGAAGCCCTATACCCAACCCACTGCTTTTCCACTACAAAACAAATGAAGGGATTCTTGGTTCTTCCCACTAGCCTATATTTCTACTAGTAGAAACAGCTGACACAAAGACAAACAGACAACGAAAGAGAAAAGTTCTGGCTTTTTCTCTTCTTTCCCCCTTTCCTCAATCAACTGTATAGCTTTTTTTTTTTGCAGTTTTTGGCTGGGGCCAGGTTTGAACCTGCCACCTCCAGCATATGGGGCCAGTGCCCTACTCCTTTGAGCCATATGTATAGCTATTTTTAAAACCTTCCGTTTTAATAAACTCTTAAACGTTTCATTGGTAGCTTAATGTCTGGATACATTTAGTATTATTTCCAAGACTATTTTATAGTTGAAAGAAACAAAACTGAAACCATGAATCTACTAATAACTGACCTTTTTTTGTTTGTTTGTTTAGCAGGCCCAGGCTGGGTTAGAACCCACCAGCCCCTGTGCATGGGGACGGCACTCTAACCCCTGGGCTACCACTGAAATTTTTTTTAAATAAGATTTACAAGCCAGCTTAATAAATGGACAGAATGCACAGGTAGTAAAGGCATGAGAAGAGAAATATTCTGACACCATACCAGCCCACACGAAGACACAAGATTAACGATTAGAGGCAGGAATAAGACAAAGGGAAGTGTGAGTCACTACATCAATGCACTAAAACTCACACTATGTTGAAAACTAAAGCTACTATGAAAGGTTTACTGTTAAGTAGCTCCCAATTTTTTTCTTTAATCAGAATAAAAATCTGCCATATCTTCTTAAACTCCCCTCCCTTCTCTGTTCACTTTACTACTTTAACCAATCCTTAATCCAAAGGCACCGAAGCCAGTCCCACTGCAGAACCCCATTCTGCAACCTCAGGAGGTGCTCAACTGCTTCTCCACCCTCCTCAGTTGCTATGCCCAGCTCCAAGGAGTGGTCTCATCACCAGGTCTCATCACCAGGTGGACAAGAACCAGATGCCAGATACAAACATTTTAGAGACCTAGCACTCATTCTGGAAATTCCTAAAATCAGAGATGCTGGGAGACAGCACCAGCACCTGCTGGAAGATAAGCTTCAGCAGAAGGGGGCACTTCTGTTTTGTCTCTTGGCAAGTTGGACAATAGAGTACAGGGATCAGCTTAGTAACTTGATTAAACACATGTGACTTTAGGGCTCGGTTTCCTCACTCGTAAGCAGAAACCTTACTTCATGGAGGTGCTTCAAAAGTCAAATAGGAAAATGATATGAAGTATTTAGTACAGAGCCTAAAGACATAGGAAAACACTCAAAAAAAGTACAGCTATCATGAATTACTATGAAAAGGGCTCTGACGCCCCAGCAACAAGCTACATGTCTACAGACAGTCATTTAAACTCCCTCTAATCTTCAAAGGGTAGAGGTTTTCAAACATTTTCTTCACTGATGTATTCCCAATTGCCTAGAACAGTGTCTGGCACATAAATATTTGTGCACTGGATAGACAAGATCCCTAAGATTCTTTTCACTATAAATCTCATTATCCTGCCAGGCACAGTGACTCACACCTGTAATCCCAGCACTATGGGAGGCTGAGGAGGGAGAATCGCTGGAGCTCAGGGGTTCGAGACTCACCTGAGCAAAAGTGAGAACCCCAACTCATGAAAAAAAAAATGGAAAAACCCAGCTGGGTGCAGCGGTGAGCGCCTGTATTCCCAGCGGCTTCCAGGGGCTGAGGCAGTGGGATGCCCACAAGCCGGAGTCTGAGGTTGCAGTGAGCTACCAAGCTACTGCACTCTGCTCAGGGGCACAGGGTGGGACTCTGTCTCAACAAAATAAAAAAAAAAAAAATCTCATTATCCTGAGAAAATGAAATGAAATGAAATTACTTACTAGATGCCAGAGCTTCTGCTTCAGTGGAAGGAACCTTGTAGATTTTTCCACCCTTATAGACAAAGCTCCCTTCAGTCACTTTAAAATCCAGATAGCGGGTGACCTCGGTATAAAGCAGCATCTTAACCAGCTGACCTAGAAAAGTCACATAATTCCAACTATAACTTAAGTCCTACTACCATTAAGTTATCAGAAATAAAAGTACATCCAATAATACTGATAGCTTCCCAAGTTTTTCTTATCATTGTCCAGTAAGTGACAAAAAAATCTCCAAAGCTCCATTTGAAATAAGACAACCAGAGTGCACTCTCACTGTGATGCATATTTAGGAGGGATTTTAATGTTACAACTTCAAGGTTAATAATTCTATCAACAAGCTTTTGCAAAAGCTATGAAACCTTTATCAGAGACTGAGGTTTTGGATTACACCACTATTGTAGGCAAGTCTGCCCTGCTTCAGAGTTTCTACCACATTTTAAAGACAGGCAATTCCCAAAATTTTCTAGGAATTTGTGCTCTTCAATTTTCGAGTCAATTTATATTTATTAAAGTGAACATTAACTTCTGATAAAGCCCGAGATTACAATTAGAAATATCATCTGCCTATGAACCAAAAACGTTTAGTCTATCAAAAATAAAGAAATCTTACTCCTCATACCACAACACTACCATAAAAAGTTAGGTTTGGCTCAGCGCCCATGGCACAGTGGTTACGGTGCCAGCCACAAATTCCGAAGTTGGCAGGTTCAAACCTGTCCCGGGCCAACTAACCAACAATGACAACTGCACCAAACAAAGCCAGGTGTTGTGGTGAGTACCTATAGTCCTAGCTACTTAGGAGGCTAAGGCAAGAGAATCACCTGAGCCCAAGAGTTTGAGGTTGCTATGGGCTCTAACGCCATAGCACTCTACTGAGGGCAACCCAATGAAACTCTGTCTCAAAAAAAAAAAAGTTAGGTTTGACTTTCAAACCAGACTCAAAGACATTGTCACAAATTTAAGATAGAATTCTTACCATTGGCCATAAGGAACTTGGGAATCAAGTCAACATTCCAGTCTCTTCCCCTCCCCATTGATGCTGGTGGTGATCCTGGTATTTGAAATCTTTTGTATAACTAAAAGCAAAATAAAAATACCCATAATGTTGCAAAATTTAATTTTTAATATTCATTGTAATATTCAACTACTTTAAGTAGGTTTAGCATAACGAAACACATCAGCCTAGACAATACAGCAAGACCCCATCTCTACGAAAAATTAGCCTGTAGTCTCAGCTATTTGGGAGGCTAAGACAAGAGGATCTCTTGAACCCAAAACTCCAGGCTGCACTGAGCTATAATGGCAGCAGTGCACTCCAGCGGAGGTAACAGAGCAAGACCCTGTCTCTTTAAAAAAAAAAAAAAAAACCTAAACAGGCTCAGCTCCTGCAGCTCAGTGGCTAGGGCACTGGCCACATACACCAAGGCTGGCAGGTTTGAACCCAACCCGGACCTGCCAAACGACAACTACAACATAAAAAATAGCCAGGCATTAATTATGGCAGGCGACTGTAGTCCCAGCTACTTGGGAGGCTGAGGCAAGAGGCTGAAGCCCAGGAGTTTGAGGTTGCTGTGTCACAGCACTTACCGAGGGCAACACAGTGAGACTCTGTCTCAAAAACAAAGAAACAAAACAACTAAACACAATTACATGAGCAAAGGATGAAAAGTGTGAGGGAGCTGCACCTATGGCTCAAAGGAGTGGGGCGCTGACCCCATATACCAGAGGTGGTGGGTTCAAACCCAGCCCCGCCAAAAAACAACTGCAAAAAAAAAAAAAAAAAGTAAAAAGTATGAGGGCATTTCATTTTATAAAATCAGTAAAAATTTTTAGCAAAATTCCAGTACATATTTAAATTTAGTATAAAACTCACAAATGCTAAAATTGACAAATTATTACAGAAGTGAGTTCTTGATTTTACTAGCAGAAAATACAAAACAAATTCACCAATGATAATAATTCTGCAGAAACCTCTCAATATTTGCAGAAATCATTTAAACTCAGTCTCTCCTAAGTAAAAACCTAACAAAGGCTTAATTTTGCTTCTGTACTTACATAAGGAGTTAAAAATAAATAAATGAGTTCCAGTTCTTTACTGAGATGTAACAGATATATAAAAACTACACATTTCCCACATATTTTGATGAGCTTAGACATAAGCACCCACCCATGATGACATCACCACAAATTACTAATCATATCCATCATCCTGTCACAATGTCCTTGTGTTGTTTTGTGGTAAGGACATTCAATTTATAACTAACATGAGTTGAGAAGAAGCTGAGATAAAAGAAAACTTGTAGTTTAAAGAATATTCACTCTATCTCATGAATCGCATTGCTAAGGTAGAACAGACTATGCAGAGGTGGTAGCTATTTGGCTAATAAAAATTCATGAGTTGGGAGGCGCCGGTGGATCAAAGGAATAGGGCGCCAGCCCCACATACCGGAGGTGGTGGGTTCAAACCCAGCCCCCCGCTCGGCGCCTGTGGCTCAAACGGCTAAGGTGCCAGCCACATATACCTAAGGTGGTGGGTTCAAATCCAGCCCGGGCCCACCAAACAACAATAATAATGGCTGCAACCAAAAAAAAAAAAAGATAGCCGGGCATTGTGGCGGGCACCTGTGGTCCCAGCTACTTGGGAGGCTGAGACAGGAGACTCACTTGAGCCCAGGAGTTGGAAGTTGCTGTGAGCAGTGAAGCCATGGCACTCTACCCAGGGGGACAGCTTGAGGCTCTGTCCCAAAAAAAAAAAAAAAAAAAACCGGCCCCGGCCAAAAACTCCAAAAAAAAAAAAAAAAATTCATGAGTTCCTGAATAAGTCACCAAAAAAAAAAAAAAAAAAAGGAAAGGAAGAAAGAAACTTCCTTATCTTATTAAAGATCAGCTACTGGATGTATGATGCATAGGAGGCAGGGTGCATCACCTCACAGCTTATGGACAGTGTAGAGATCTGGGCCATCACTTGGACCAAGGAGTTGAACTTAGCATGATGAATGGTGGGTGACCTGGTATAACATGACTCCTAAATGTGATGCAATATAAAGTATTCACAATAGTGCCTAATAAAGTAGCCTGGACTTCTGAGGAAAACAAAAAAAGAAAAGAAAAGAAAAGAAAGATCAGATGTTTATAGATTAAGAGAATAAAGAGGAAACCACAACAAAGACAATGCTTGAACCTTCAGTTAACTTTGGTTTAAGAAACAAAAGACTCCTATGCAGTCATATCAGATGTTCTTAGGGTCACTGGGAGATCTGAATATGGGCTGAATCTTAGTGTTAATTTTCTTAAATATGAAAATGGCATTATCATAATGTCAGAGAATATTATTCTTCGCAGACAAATACTGAACTATTCAGGTCAAGAACCATGATGTCTGTATTACTTTGGTTCAAAACCAGAATAAACAGAAGAAGGCAGACATGAGGCAAACAAAGCCAAACACTAACTGCTGCGCTCAGACAGGGCTTTGATGCAATGGCTGCATTCTTGCACTTTTCTGTATTCCTGAATATAGGAAACAACCTCTTTGGTATAAGTTACTGATTATATACAAGTCACTGATGATACCTATCTTGCACAAACATGGTAAAGCTTATATCCACACATGTGGTTCTTCAATAAATAAATCTATTAAAATAAATTTTCCATGTGGGCAATGCTTCATGTGCCCATGTTTTCAAAAAGTAGAAAAGAAGGCCAGGCACAGTGGCTCATGCCTATAATCCCAGCGCTTTGGGAGGGTGAGGCAAGAGGGTCACTTGAAACCAGGAGTTCAAGTCCAGCCTAAGCAAGACTGAGACCTCATCTCCACAGTAAATAAAGCAGCCAGGCACAGTGGTGGTGCTGGGAGCCTGCTGAGGCAGGAGGATCACTCCAGCCTAGGAGCTGGAGGGTGCAGTGACCTATGATGATGCCACTGCACTCTAGCTCAGGTGACAGAGGGAAAGAGGGCACTACCGCAAAAGAAATAGCCTAGGTTCACAACCCATCTCTGCAATTTTAATCCCACAGAGACTATTTTGTAATCTGAAAAATGGGGATAAAATATGCCTTTGAGTAACTAAGAAAATATTCACAGTCCTGGACCGGCCTCTCTGGTCTATACTAGCTGAGGTAACTGATATGTGCTCCAGGCAACAACAAAGGTCATAATTTAAATTTCTACAAGCCCCAAACTAGAAGTTCCTGAAAAGTGGTGGTATTCTCCAGATAACTCTAATATAGCAAGATGAAAATCATCTCTCAAGAGTAAGGTGCAGATTCACAAGTCAAACAGAAGCATGAAAGGCATATTCGATTTTCCTGGTACTCACGTCTTCCAGCGGTGTTATAGATGCACTTTCTCCTCCATAATATGGGTTCTGATCCATGTGAAGAACCTTCTTGCCATTCACTGACATTATACCTGACAGGATGCACTCCTACAAGCGAAGCACAAGAGGCTGTTACAGCATGTTTCAAACCTTTTTATTAAAGCCCCCATCACACATTCTCCCAGCGAGGAGCACATAACATTCCTGCAGCCTATCACAGAGTGCGTGGAGAAAGCCCTAAAGAAACTGGGCTTCAATGGAGTCTGTAGAGGTGAGTCACCTTTTTTACCATGCTGCCATTTGCCCTAATGACACAAAATCAATGGTAAACAAAACAAATTAAGACAGAGCTCTATATTAGCAGTCATATTCTTACCAGGCACATACTTGTTACTTAATAAAACATTAAAAATTAACTTTAAGACGGGCTCTTGTCTGAATCTAGCACGTCGGGAGACCAAAGCGGGAGGATCACTTGAGCAACTTTGACTGACAGCAAAGACAGTCTCTACAAACAATCGAAAAATTAGCCGGCTGTGGTGGTATACACTTGTAGTCCCAGCTACTGGGGAAGCTGAGGCAGGAGGATCACTTAAGCCCAGGAATTTGAGGTTGCTGTGAACTGTGATGACACCATGGCACTCTAGTGTGGGCAACAAAGTAAGATCCTGTCTCAAAAAAAAGTAATAATAACTTCCTGAACATTAGCTTTTCCAGGACACTAGTATCACAGGCCACAGAAACACTAAGGATACATCACAATTCATATATAGAAACTTCACTAAGGCCTCTCTAGCAGATAGGCACGGCTCTGCGTGGTGTGTGTGGGGCTGAGCTAGCCACTCTGCATTTGAGTGTGGCAACTCTCCTATGATACATAGGGTGCTGAAGGAAGTGAAAGTCAGCCCCCCATTCCCACATCCACATATCTACTACATTGGAACTTTGGTGGTCATTTTCCACAGAGTGTTTCTTTCTTTAAATGACTCTGCCCTGTAATGCATTTTATTAAAAGCTGTTGAAGGCTCGACACCCATAGCACAGTGGTTACGGCGCCAGCCACATACACCAAGGGTGGCGGGTTCAAACCCGGCCCAGGCCTGTCAAGCAACAATGACAACTACAACCAAAAAATAGAACATGGTCAGCACCTGTAGCCCCAGCTACTTGGGAGGCTGAGGCAAGAGAAATTGCTTAAGCCCAAGAGTTGGAGGTTGCTGTGAGCTGTGGTGCCACAATACTCTACCAAGGGCAACATGGTGAGACTCTGTCCCCCGCCAAAAAACATTTTTTTAAAAAGCTGTTAAAAACAGCTGTTCTTGAATTCTGGCCAATTATATCACTCTCCTGGCTCAAAGTCCTCTGCCTAGAAAACAACATTCAAATCTCTTAGCCTAGAATATTCCATTCTCGTTACGTGCCTTCTTTCCAACTCCATCTGCCTCTTCAAACCTGTTTCAAGCAAAATAAACTACTGCCCATTCCTTATACACCCCTCATCTTGACAGATTAACCTGCTCTGGCTAGAAAACCTTCTCTTCCTCATGTCCACAGCTTACCAGTTATCTCTGAAACCAGCAAACATCACACACTACTGTAACCTCTATGTGCTAAAGCACGTCTCGTTTTACTTGTATTTTCTATTAACCGGCCTGATTAGGGCTGGTCTAAAATACAAATTGCTCATGATATATTTATACTTTCTAAGAGTAATAAGCATTTGTTATGATCACTAGTGCAGTGAACAGAATGGCCTAATCTTAGTCTACAGAATGGGAACATAGCTATAGCAAGAATTTTCAAAGAGTGTACCTAGGATGGCACCTGTAGCTCAGTGAGTAGGGCTCGGGCCACATACACTGATGCTGGTGGGTTCGAGCCCAGTCCAGGCTGCTAAAACAATGACAATTGCAACCAAAACAAAACCAAATACCCAGGCATTGTGGCAGGCACCTGTAGTCCCAGCTACTTGGGAGGCTGAGGCAAGAGAATTGCTTCAGCCCAAGAATTTGAGATTGCTGTGAGCTGTGGCGCTACAGCACTCTACTGAGGGAGATAGCGTAAGACTCTGTCTCTAAAAAAAAAAGACTGAGCAAACCTAAGAGGGTACCTTACAGTTCAGGATTTTTAAATCAAGTACAAAACCTGTTCTCTGAAAGCACAAAATTTTAATAAAGAGAAATGGGCGAAAGCATTATATAGTGTTAAATATGTAATCCTGAGAATAATCTGGTTGGGTATCACCAAAGTATGTTTCTATTCATGATTCCTTTCTGTGTAGAACAAAACACACAGAAAAATAACCTCTGGGAAACACAAACAGCTGTGGAGCTAATTACTTTTATTTCTTTAATCTATTATTTCTAACAAGATGGATGAATTTATTTCCAAGCCCATATGAATTATGTGCAAATCAAGTGGTAAGAGGCTGCCTACACATGCTGAAAACAGAGAGTTAACGTCACCACCACCAAAGTTAAGAGAAGGAAAGAAAAAAAAGCCTGAAGGGAAAGTGAAGAACTCAAAAAGCCGGGCAGCCAGCATACCAGGTTAGACAAAGCTCACCAGGTCCTATGAGCTTCATTATGTTCTAACACAGCAGTTCTCAAACGGTGGGTTGCCGTGTTAGGAAAGCTGAGAACCACTGTTCTAACATAACACATACTTAATCTCCTGCTGTGAAATCTTAGTTATCAAGGAAATTCATTATGCTCCTCAGTTTGTTAAAGAAGTTGTGACATCCCTTAGAAAGTCTTTATCCAAAAGCTATGGTCCTTTACAGGGAAAACCCTTGGGTGGCACCTGTGGCTCAGGGGATAGAGTGCCGGCCCCATATACAGAGGGTGGCGGGTTCAAACCCTGCCCCGGCCAAACTGCAACAAAAAAATAGCCGGGTGTTGTGGTGGGCACCTGTAGTCCCAGCTACTCGGGAGACTGAGACAACAGAATCACCTAAGCCCAGGAGTTGGAGGTTGCTGTGAGCTATGTGATATGTGACACCATGGCACTCTACTGAGGGCAATAAAGTGAGACTATGTCTCTACAAAAGAAAAAGGGAAAACCCTCGATTCCTTAGCAAATTCAATAATATGAAACACTCCATTTCTCCTAGACAGAGAATGAAGATTTTATTCCAGTTTATATCAAATCATTTTACATCTTACTAGCATTATTATCAATATTTATACATTTATATGAGCACATTTTAAACTGATAACATAAGCAATATAAAAACTCCAACACTTCTTTACATCTTTTTTTTTTTTTTTTGAGACAAAGTCTCACTGTGTTGCCCTCGCTATAGTGCTGTGGTGTCACAGCTCACAGCAACCTCAAACTCGGACTCAAGCAATTCTCTTGCCCCAGCCTCCTGAGTAGCTGGGACTACAAGTGCCTGTCACAACGCCTAGCTATTTTTTTGTTTGTTTAGCAGGCCCAGGCGAAGTTGGAGCCCACCAGCCCCGGAGCATGTGGCCCTAACCACTGAGCAACGGGAGCCCAGCCTCCCTGCCGTTTTTTTTTTTTTTAAAGTTCTTAACTCTCAGGCACTAAATATTTATAAACTAAAAATGAGGAAAATTAACTCCAGACACTTGAAGTTAATTCTAATTTGAGGGCTAACTTTGGTTTTCTCTTACTTTCAGTCATCTAAGTCCTGGTATCACTAAAAATGAGATGTAAGATTTCTCACTATCAAAATCACCTGTCATCACTACTCTTCTCAATGACAATTAACAATGTGATTGTCCTGAATTAACAGAACTTTTAAAGAACATCACAAAACAATTTTAGGAGGGCTCATAAGGATTAAAGTTTTCACAGCTATAGAGAGAAGAAACTGACCGGATTTGCTATTATCTACCATTCATCAAAAAGTCCACAATTCAAATGAAAATTTAAACAACATGCATTATCTCAAGCGTTACACAATAAGACTGTGCCATCTTCGATACAAAGTGATGCTTCTGACTTGGGCATGTGCAGACCTGCAGGATGATGGATTTGTACTCACTTGTCCATGACCCACTGACCTTAACCATGGGCAAATCTGGAAGACCATAGGAAAGCAGTGGAACTAACTGGCTTTTACAACATGCTGGCAGCAACAGCACCCACACTAATGGGCAAAATCCACCACAAACTACTAAGCTCAGCCTGGAATCCCAATCGGGTACTTAAAACAAAACTACAGTGGGTAGGGCCTAGTCACCTAGGCATCCAACGGTCTTCTAAGTCACGATTAAAAAAGAAATTCAACCAAATCCCTCACATACAAAATGTGGCTTTCTGTATGATAGTCACATCTATTTGGTACTATTTCCTAGACAATCACATGTCTATTTCTGGACTGGTCAAATCTAATGAAGTATTCAGAAAAGAGTATAGATCATTATAAAGAGAAAAATGGCAGGCCAGAAAAATCACTAGTCTTTTCTTCAAAAACTAGCATAATTTGGCTCAGCACCTGTATCTCAGTGGTTAGGGGGCTGGCCACATACATCAGGGCTGGTAAGTTTGAGCCCGGCCAGGGCCTGCTAAAGAACAATGACAACTACAACAAAAAAATAGCCAGGCACTGTGATGGGCTCCTGTAGTCCCAGCTACTTGGGAGGCTAAGACAAGAGAATCACTTAAGCCCAAGAATTTGAGGTTGCTGTGAGCTGTGAAGCCACAGCACTCTACCAAGGGTGACAAAGTGAGTCTCAAAAAAAAAAAAAAAAAAAACTAGAATAATTTGAAAAAAAACTTTAAACACCCCAATGAGGGGGCCAGATGAGGTGACTCCAGCCTGTGATGCCAGCACTTGGGAGGCTGAGGTAGGTGGAATGCCTGAGCTCACAGGTTAGAGACCAGCCTCAGCCCAAGTGAGACCCCATCTCTAAAAACAGCAGGGGGTTGGCGGTGCTAGAAACAGCTACTGGGGAGGCTGAGGCAAGAGAATTGCTTAAACCCAGGAGTTGGAGGTTGCTGTGAGCTATGACACTACAGCACTCTACCAAAGGTGACAAAGTGAGACTTTGTCTTAAAAAACAAATAAACAACAACAACAAAAAAATAAAACAGGCCAATTAAAGTTCAAATGTTTTCTCTTGTCTAAAGAAATCTAAAATCATAGGTGAGGGGCAATTACAACCAGGACTTTAACAAACGCAAACAATGTAACCTAATAATTTTTAACCTCATATTAATCTGAAATTTTTTTAAAAAATGAAATCTTATGTTGTTACTTTTAAAAAAGTATTAATTTGGCTTTGCTCCTGTAGCACAGTGGTTACAGCACCAGCCACACACACCCAGGTTGGTGGGTTCGAACCCAGCCCAGGCCAGCTAAACAACGACAATTGCAACAAAAAAAAAAAAAAAAGAAAGAAAGAAAAAGAAAAATAGCCAGGCATTGCAGTGGGAGCCTATAGCTCCAGCTACTTGGGAGGTTGAGGGAAGAAAATTGCTTAAAGCCCAGGAGTTTGAGGTTGCTGTGAGCTGTGACACCATAGCACTCTACTGAGGGAGACATAGTGAGACTCTGTCTCAAAAAAATAAATAAATAAGGGAGGCGCCTGTGGCTCAAAGGAGTAGGGCACCGGCCCCATATGCCGGAGGTAGTGGGTTCAAACCCAGCCCGGACCAAAAACTGCAAGCAATAAATAAATAAATAAATAAAATAAAATAAAAAAGGATTAATTTGACCTGAGCGTACAACAAATGTAAACAAATTTGAAGTGGTGGTTTACATTAACTGACTCAGGAATTCGGGGTCAGAGTACATGGGATACATAAAATATACCTCACTGTTCATTTTATTATGAAGTAGCCCCAAAAGTAAGAATTTCAAATTTCCCCCCAAAATTGATAGATAAAACAGTACTCTCTCCGAATTGAATTATTTTGCAAGATCAATGTCTTCATTGTCTTAAAAAGGGGGGTAAGTACAAGACACATATAAAACCTGCCAGCATTATTTGCAGAATATTATCTAAACGTCTCTAAGCAGAGAGGCACCCGGGAAAATAAATACACCGTGGCAGTAGGAACTCCCTGCACTCACACGTTACAACATTCTTCCTGCTATTATCCTCTAACTCCCCTAAGAGTGCTTCGAAGTGCAGAGACCTTGGCCTGTAGCAATCCATCACCAACCTATTTCTTAGCGGAAAGCACCGGAAGAGACAATGGAGGCAGGGATCAACGAAACAAAAGACGGCAAAGGTCAGGTGCGAAAGCAGTAGATGGACAAGTTTCGAGAAAACACATTTCTAATTCCACAGATGCTCTGTAAGTAGGAAGGGCTCGTGGCTTAAAAGAATCAATAATGCTTATTTGGAAAAGGAAGAAGGATTTAAAAAAAAAAAAAAGTCCTCATTTTCTCCCCCCAATTTAAGTTAAACTCCGGCAGTCACAAAGCAGCGATCATCCTTGGACTTGTCAGGGAACCTTGAGCCCGGGAGCGGCGGCTGGGGCTGGGGAGGAAATGCAGCTGCGGCGGCGGCCTCCGCCCTCCCTCCAATCCCGAGGTCACCGGCCCGGCAGGGAGGGGGCATCGGCGTCGGGCTTCCCCTCCTCCGCGCTCTCCCTCCCAGCTGCTCCCGGCCGGCCATCCCACCCTCTGGCCGGGCCCGCGCGCTCGTCCCGGCTTCCTCTTCCCGGCCTGTCCCCGCACTGGGGAGGTGGCCTGCTCCGCGCTGGGCGCCTCGGACCCGTCCACCGCCCCGTCACGACGCCGGCACCGAAAGCCAAGGCCGACGACGCAGGAGGCTGGCCCGGGACGCGAGCCCGCGTGCGGGGCGCCGGGTGCGCCGCCCGCCACTCACCGTCAGGCCGGTGCCCAACACGATCACGTCGTATTCCTCATTCATGGCGAGGCAGGGCGAGGACCGAGGGCCCGAGGAAGGCGAAGGCGCAGCGGCTCTGCGGCCACCCTAGGCAGGCGGGGAGGCGCTCAGGCCGCTCTCGGGCCCGAGAGGACAGGGGAGCGAGGAGGCCAGGCAAAATGGAGCGGACGAGGAGGCGATGCCGGCCGCCACCTCAAACGGGAAGAGACGAGCTGGGCGAAGCTGGGCGGGCGGGCTGGGAGGGGCGCGCGGCGGGCGGCTACCGAGCCTCCGCAGCCGGGGCGGGGCGTGCGGGAGGCGGGGGGCCGTCAATCACGAGCTCCCGGCCCTCTCATTAGCTACGTCCTGTTCTCTCGCCCCACCTTTTTTTCCTTTCCCGCCTCTCGCGAGAGGAGGGTGGGGCGTTCCCATGTTGGCTTCCGGTTCCCTGCCTGTCCTCTGCCACCGTGGTGCGGGCATCGGCTCGCGAGCTGGGACAGGGGGTGAGCGAGGGCGTGGGGCGGAGGCTGCCGCGCTGCAGTGCAGCTGCTGACTGGCGCCGCTGGGCCAGAAGTTCGCGTGGCCCAAGTGCCCTGAGCCCGCCCGCCCGCCTGCCCGCCGTCCTTGGACTTTGAGCCGGGCGTGCGGCGGCCACGTGGGCGAGGGGCGCGGACCCGAGCCAGCTCGGAGTCGCTCGGGTCTCATCTGTTTCCCGCCCTGGGCCATCCCTGCTTCTCGTTTTGTCGTCCCTTGGCGCCTTAGGAAATTCGGGGAGGGAAAAATCCAGGCTCTTTTTTTAAAAAGTAACGCTTAACATGTATGAAAAAGTTGAGACCCTGAGCATAGTTGAAACTATTCCCTGCTTGCCTGCTGGCCCTCGCCCCCACCCCTCCCCGCACACCTTTTTCTAGGATTCCTTTTGGAATGTCCAACTTTGGTGAGGACACGGTGTGAACAGAGGCTGTGCCCTCAGCCCAAAGAGGCAAACCCTGTGGCCCTCTTCCGGACCAGTGACTTTCCTAAAGGCGTTGGCAGTTGGAAAACCGGTGTTTTCAGCATGTGACAGTTCTGTGTACTCAGGCAGATAATATTTACTATTTCCTTCGAGATTTACTCTCAAAATGGGTAAAAGCTGCTCAGAGCTTATTTTGGTCGACAGAATTTCTTCCACTTTAAAGTGATTTAAATAAACCATTCTTACGGAAGAAAGAAAGTAACAATTTTTTAACAATGTTTCTTCACCCCATAAACTAAGAGTTTAAGAAAATATAGTACAGCGAACAATGGACGAGGTTGGGAGTCAGGAGAAGAAAGTTTAAATTTCCTTATAACCTTAATAGCCTTAATTGGATTTATACTCGTTCGAGACCAAATGAGTTAGTGCAGAGCTTTCCATACTACCGATCTGATTAGACAGCAGTGGCTGTAACAAGGCTTTTCTGCTGATGCCTTGAGATACTGCTGTTACTGTCTTCAAGCAATCAGAAGTCATGTTACCTGGTCTTTTGAACCATCATAGAATACTGACTTTTTTTTTTTAACCAGCAGTAACGATAAAGACCCTTTCTTGCATCAGCCTCTGAATGTTGAAGAGGCTTTTTAAGCATATCCTCTGAATTGTGTGTTACCATGTTTTAAGTGAAGGATATTTCATCAATACCCAGAGCTATTGTGACACGTAAAGGCCTTGAGATAGGGAATTGAATTTAAGTCTAATAAAGTCTAATTAAGTCTAATAAAGATCCCTTGTACTGAAGGACAGAAAACAAACAAAAATACCTGGACTAATCCTCCATAGACTACAGCCTGAATCCACCCCAAATCCTATACCTGTTCTTGGATCTTCCACCACACCCATTCCAGTTGCCAAGGAACTTGTAGACAACACATACTGTTTACGGTGAGGCTGGAAAGCTATGAATAGGGCGGTGCCTGTGGCTCAGTGGGTAGGGCACTAGTCCCATATACTGAGGGTGGTGGGTTCAAACCCAGCCCTGGCCAAACTGCAACATAATAATAGCCGGGCATTGTGGTGGGCACCTGTAGTCCCAGCTACTCTGGAGGCTGAGGCAAAAGAATCGCCTAAGCCTAGGAGTTGGAGGTTGCTGTGAGCTGTGATGCTACAGCACTCTACCAAGGGTGGTAAAGTAAAACTCTTACTCTACAAAAAAAGAAAGCAAGCTACAAAGGTTCAGTGGCTCTCAGAGCAAAGCAGAGCGTAGTTCCTGTTAGAGTGAAACCTTAGGTTTAGGGGAACTAGGTTGGTGGGTGGAAAACACCATCGATGTTGAAAATATTTCAAATCTTTACCCAAAACAGGAGTTGGTGGTAGTCTTTTTTTTTTTTTTTAAGACAGAGCCTCAAGCTGTCCCCCTGGGTAGAGTGCTATGGCATCACAGCTCACAGCAACCTCCAACTCCTGGGCTCAAGCAAGTCTTCTGCCTCAGCCTCCCAAACAGCTGGGACTACAGGTGCCCACCACAACGCCCGGCCATTTTTTGGTTGCAGCCATCATTGTTGTTTGGCGGCCCGGGCTGGGGATTTGAACCCGCCACCTTAGGTGTATGTGGCTGGCGCCTTAGCCACCACAGGCGCCGAGCCAGGTAGTTGTATTTACACTTGGGCACTTGAGAATAATTTGCTGATCTCTTTCTACTGTTTGTATCCTCACTTTACAAAGGAAGACCCTGAGTCTAAGGAAGAGTGACCCTCAGTGCAGGGAGGGCTCTCTCTCCAACAGTTTCTCAGCAGCTTCCTCTCCGCTCACTCTCCTCTTCCCTACTATGGCCAGTGTCATCTTACAATGTAAATCAGATCACAGTGCTTCTGTGTATTTTTTGCATTTAGAGTAAAATGCAAATCCCTTAATTTGACCTGCAAGGTATTGCTTAATCTGGCCTCTGCATCTCCCTCCAGCTTAGTCTTACCCTGATATATTACCCCACACACACACTTGTCTTTCAGTTCCAGAATCTGGTCAAACTTTTAACCACCAAAAGGCCTTTGCAATCTTCCTGGTTCCATAGTTGCCAACCCTCACTTCCTTCCCACCCCACCCCACCTCCTGACACAGGTAGCTCTTACCACACACTCCCTTAGCTTTTGGCTTAAAAATCTTCCCTGATCTCTTTGTAGTTCCCCCAACCATCATTCTGTGTCAGCACCCCACTCTTTCTCTCACTGTTTTTTATCAAATTTGTAACTGTTTTCTTCCCTATTTTTGTTTGCCTGCCAAGTTTTTGTTTGTTTTTGAGACAGAGTCTCACCCTCAGTAGAGTGCTATGGCATCACAGCTCACAGCAACCTCAAACTCTTGGGCTCAAGCGATTCTCTTGCCTCAGCCTCCCAAGTAGCTGGAACTATAGGAGCCTGCCACAATGACTGGCAACTTTTAGAGACGGGGTCTCGTTCTGGCTCAGGCTGGTCTGGACCCTGTGGGCTCAGGCAATTCACCTGCTTTGGCCTCCCCAGAGTGCTGTGATTACAGGTGTGAGCCACCACCCCTGGCCCCCCAAGTTGAATGTTAACTCCATGAGGGCAGGAATATGAGCTGTCTTGTCCACAACTATGCCATGACACCTGGAACAGTGCCAAGCACCTGCAAATCACTGCAAAATATAAATCTGTTTAAAACCTGGATAGCTAATGCTGCAGAGAAGACCTACGGGTATATCTAGAGAAAAAATATAGTTCCAAAAATATATCTCCTACCTTCTAGCAGGTCATTTACCACACCCATCCCCACCGAAGACTGTTCATCTACTCCCAGTCTCTGTCTCTGCCCAAACTAGGATTCTCGCTCTTGGCCTTGACTCTGCCTTCTTTCTCTCCTTCCAAATCCATTCTGGTTTCTATTGTTGTGTGACAAACCACCCTAAACTTAGTGGCCGGCTTGGCGCCTGTGGCTCAAGTGGCTAAGGTGCCAGCCACATACACCTAAGGTGGCGGGTTCAAATCCAGCCCAGCCCGCCAAAACAATGACGGCTGCAACCAAAAAATAGCCGGGCGTTGTGGCAGGCGCCTGTGGTCCCAGCTACTTGGGAGGCTGAGGCAGGAGACTCGCTTGAG